GGGGTCTCAGGGAACGGACCCCCCCTTGGCAGTGTCAGCTTCCCACCAGTCCTTGGCCTCATGCCTGGTAATGCTTGAGGGTCTCTCTGGAAAGCTCGGAAAACTCAGCACGAAAGGTGTGCAATGAACATGGGGGATCGTCTCTCACGCTGGAGCCTTTTGTCCCCGTCTTTGTCTCTCGAGGCACCCATTTTTCATAAAAGTGAGCAAAGCTGGAAGTCCTTGACAGAGTCATCTTATTTCTGAGCGCGGTGATGGATGGCCGTGCGCCGCTCTGGCAAGGCAGGTGATAGGAGGCTTGGCACGGAGCAGTGGAACGGCGACGAGGGCAGGATCTAACCTCGCGGGATTCAGCTTTTTTCACGCTGATTTGGGGTTTGATGGTGCAGGACTCTGCACACTGTCTGGATCTGGGGTCCACCGTCACCGTTCCCTCTAAGCTGAGTTAGTGTGAGCCAGCTCACAGTTCTTTTTAGCCTCCGGCTCACGCCTTTTTGTCTCGACTCGGGAAGGAGGGCTCCAGAGCAGACTGATTTTATGCAGCAGCCCAATCGCTCACTCAGAACTTGAATGCCAGAGGTCGCCCTGACACACACTCACACACACAATAGACAGAGTCAAAACTCCCTATGTCAGATCTAACAGCGGGAGCAAAAGCTTAGGCCCCAAAGCTCTCGTTGGTCTCCAAGGTGCTACTGTACTCGAATCGAGCTGTTCGACTGCTAATCAACATGGCTAGCCTCTAGAACTAAACTACACATCTCTATATATCTAATAGCCAAGGTCCCCTCTGTGTGCAGATATCTAAATCCGCACATGTGGGGCACCTAGGGGGCAAAGAGATTTTCCTGCACACTTCGGGCACTCTCCAGGAGTGCAGAAGAAAATCTGAAATGTAGAAAAAACCCCTATGGGGGGGATACTTAAATCCCCCCCAAAGTAAAAGAGTGTTCCCTGCACATGTGCAGAGAATGCTGTCGGTGCCAGGGGGTGGGGGAGAAGGCTTGGTGAGCCTGAGCCTTGCCATTGGTGCTGGAGGGCGGAGGAGGAGGCTTGGTGAGGCCAACGTCTGGGAGCCGCACAGGCCTTGCCGTCAGTGCCGAGGGGCGGGGGAGAAGGGGAGAAGGCTCACCTGCGGCTGATTCCTCCTCCTCTACGTGGAGCTCCTCCCCCCTGGCGAGTATCACAGGTCCCCGTTTCTTGTCTTGCTCTAATCCTTACAACAATCCTGTAAGGGAGGCCAGTATATTTACCTTCCATGTGGCAGTTGGGGTTCTGAGACCGACTGGCTTGCCCTGGGGAGGTGATGGCTGAGACAGGGTTGGAATTAGGGGACCCCCTTGGATTGCAGCTTGTTATTTTCGCTCGCCTAGAGGTGAAGGTCTGCCCTCTTCTGATTGGGTTTCTTTGCCTGCACTTGGAAACTTGGGGGGCATCATGCTGTGTTTTCAAGCATGCTGGGAGAGCAAAGACGGAGGCAGAGGCTTCTCCTCCCTCCCAGAGGGCAGCGGATCTGCTAGCCCACATCGGGTCCCCGGAGAGATAGATCCTGACCTCCAATACACCCCTTCACTCACCGCGCGACCCTCTATTCTCTTCTCCTCTTCCAATTTCCACGCACAAATGCCCCCTTCCCCTCACCTCAACTGAAGAAGAAAAAGAGATTGGGTTTATACCCCGCCCTTCACTACCCAAAGGAGTCTCAGAGCGGCTGAAAAACTCCTTTCCCTTCCGCTCCCCACAACAGACAGCCTGTGATGTCAGTGGGGCTGAGAGAGCTCTTGACAGAAACTGCTCTTTTTCAAGAACAGCTCTTATCAGAACTACGGCTTGCTCAAGGTCATCCAGCCAGGTGCAAGTGGAGGCATGGGGAATCAAACCCGGTTCTCCCAGATTAGAGTCCGTGCACTTAACCACTACACCAAACTGAAGGGGGTCACCTTCTCCACACTAACATTCAAGACCAGAGCTATCACAGAAGTAACGTGCAGCCAGCAAGAAATAGGAATATTCTTTTGTTTTTCCTTTGGCCTTCTACCAAAAGAAGAAGAAGAGATTGGACTGATACCCCACCCTTCACTACCCGAAGAAGTCTCAGAGCGGCTTATAGTCTCCTTTCCCTTCCACTCCCCCAACAGACACCCTGTGAGGTAGGCGGGGCTGAGAGAGCTCTTTCGAGGACTGCTCTTGAGAGAACAGCTCTGAGGAAACTATGACTGACTCAAGGTCACCCAGATGGCTGCATGTGGAGGAGTGGGGAATTGAACACATTTAACCACCTTTAGGGACAAATCCATTCACAAACCTCAGTCCCGCAAATGTATATGATATCGTACACTGCAAGACAGAAGACACTGCAGAGAACGGGCGTCCAGGAGGGCAGCGCTTGTTTCTGATTTTGCCTGGTCGCTACACCGCAGAGTAGCTTTTCCGCAGGTCATCCTGCCACAGAGCAGGATCTGAACCCGCAACCATGTAGTTTCCCCAGGAAAGACTGCGGTTCACCTCCGGACAACTCCTAGCTCTCTTGCGTCATCTCCTCCTCCTGCGTTGTCCGTTTTTTCCATACTACAAAAGGGTCTCTTCTCCTTTCTGCTCTTGTTTTATGAATTCAGCGTGCAGCAGTTTCCCCTTCCCTGTTTCTCTGTCTGCTGCAGAACCTGCGAGCTCTTCTGCGTAGGAGCCACCAGGGACTGTTTGGGAGGGCGTGCATCTTCCCTCTCCCCGTCTCTCTTGTGCTTTGGGATAAGAATAGCAACACGCCGGGGATTTTACTGCAAAGGCATGTGGCTTGCTGGCGAAAACAGAGTCTCTGGGGAATCTGGATCCATTCTGTATATTGGCTAGCGGAATCTTTCCTGACCCTTGCGTGTGCTCAAAATCTGCTGCTAAATATACTTGTTCAGGGCAGAAACCTTTCGCTGTCCAGCATAAAACTGCCGGTCGGTAGGATCAAATGGGCACTGTTTTGCAGTCCTTGAGGAGCAATTCAGTTCCTCCTGCCCCCTCAGTGTCTTCACATTTTAGTTCATTTTTTTAAATCCTTTCTCATTACGAGGTCTGAGTCAGCTGCTGCTAGTAGAACAGTGTAGGTGCGTTGGCTGGATTTATTGTCAGGATGCTGAAGGGGTTCCTGAGTTCTCCGATTCAGCACGAAACTCCCTGTTGAATTTTCTGCTTCTCTTTGGTGCAAACCGAACCGGCAAAGACTCGTTTTCGCGACACTTCCGGTTTCCTTGCACCAAATTGCTCCCGTGAGACGTAAGATGGCTTGAGTGTGAGTGTGGTGTGTGTTGCAGAATAAATGATATGCATATAAATGACTATATAGATTGCATGGAAATGGCATGCAAACAGAAAGAAAGAAAGAAAGAAAGAAAGAAAGAAAGAAAGAAAGAAAGAAAGAAAGAAAGAAAGAAAGAAAGAAACGAATCCTCAATTTTGACAACAAAAATGGACACCGAAACGAGTCATGCTGGGATCAAAAGGAAATGAATGAAGGTGTATTTCCACTCTCCCTAGGGAAGGAGGGAGGTTTGGTACGGCCCGATCTTGTCAGACTTCAGAAGCTAAGCAGGGTTGGTGCTTGGATGGGAGTCCACCAAGGAAGGCTCTGCAGAGGAAGGCAATGGCCAATCACCTTTGCTTTTCACTTGCCTCGAAAGCCCATTGTTGGGGTCTCCATAGGCCTCTCACCAAATCTCAGAAGCTAAGCAGGGTCAGTACTTGGATGGGAGACCACCAAGGAAGGCTCTGTAGAACCACCTCTGCTTCTCACCAATGCGCCCTCTAAGCTGTGGAGTCTTGTGAGCAAAAATTCTACTTTGCACGCCAATGGCATTAAAGTTGTGAGCAAGTGATTTGGCTATGGCATAAATTAGTTTGCTCTGGAGCTCTCCTTCCTGAGCCAAGACAAAAATGTGTGAGCTGGAGGCTAAAAAACTGTGAGCCAGCTCACACTAACTCATCTTAGAGGAATACTGCTTCTCACGTGTCATAAAAGCCCCTTGCTGGGTTGCCATCAGGCAATTGCCACCGGATGGCACTTAACAGGCATAATTTATTCTGAAAAGCACGGTTTGTAGCACCAGAGATGGAACAAACATTTGTAAAGCATAGCCAAGAGTAGAGAGAGAGAGAGAGAGAGAGAGAGAGAGAGAGAGAGAGAGAGAGTTGAATGCAGAATATCTTCAAGGATAGAATCAACCCCTTAACTTACATTGTGTTGTTTCTTCTCTGCACCTGGGGGGGGGGGAGTTTCTTCGGAAGGAGGCAGTCACATGACCATATATCATCAGACCATTGGCCCTCCCATCTTAGTGTAACCTACTCTGATTGGTGGCGGCTCTCCGAGGTTGTTGTCTAACACCATCTACCTTTTAAGTTGGAGATGCCGTGGATTGAACTTGGGATCTTCAACACCAACTTCACAGGGTGTCTGTTGTGAGGAGGGGAAGGGAAAGGAGTTTGTAAGCCGCTCTGAGACTCTGAGTGAAGGGTGGGGTATAAATTCAATTTCCTCCTCCTCCTCCTCCGCAGCGCGCTCACGCGCTCTTCCCTCTCGCTCTC